TTGTTTAGAGGCATATTTTCACATTTTAAGCTACTTTTTTTATTTTGAGTCATTATTTTAATTGAACTTTTTCTACAAACGTTGCTTTTGATGCTCTCAACAGCTTCTGAAATCATGTTTTAACTGAGTTGAGCGGTTTAGCAGCACAGTACAGTTTTTAGGTAAAAGATGCTTATTATCTATCCTTGAAAAAGGGTGCTGATGATAAAGATACAGTATTAAATATGTGACCTTTCCAAATTCTGTGTTGAAAAACACTAAAAACTGTGCTATTTCAAGTTAATACCAAATCGAGTGTAAACTCCAATAAATAAGAAAGCTTATACCAAGATCAGATGCATTTACTCCATTTATGAATCATTTTCGCCCACTTGGCATACGTTTGAAAAACAACATTCGTATTTTATTTGCATGGCAAAATTCAAAATTTGAGGGAAGTAAGTCGAATACTTCCTGAGAAATTAAATTTTAAAAAAGTCAGATTCTTAACATTTGATTTCTCAAGAACTATTTGACTTATTTCGCTCAAATTTTCTATTTTGCCTTGTAAAATTAGATTTCTTAAAATGATGTAAAAAAAATTTTTATACTTTATAACTCAAAATTTCTCCAACAATTACGAAATGAAATAATAAAAAGTAAGAAATAGTAGCTAAAAGTTATTTTTTCCATGGAATTATCTTTGGATAAACGAATTTTATAATTGTGAGTAAAAAAATTTCAATTCGCTTTAAGAGTTCTCCGGATGTAGCGAAATACGTAAAATGAACCGCCTTCCTGACCCTGAATAACTATTGATATAATGATCACATCTTCATGTATTAAGACTCAGCCTTAATGGTTCAAAAGGGTGACCACAAAATTGCTAATTAATCAGTGAAGCCGTTATTTTAAGTTTTGAAATCAGACACAAAAATTTACCTTTTCTTGAATAAACATACCTGTTTTCAAAAAATTCTAATTTCTGACTCCCAATATACTGAGATTTGCCACAATCTGGGAAATATGGTCTCAAAAGTTTGGTCAGGAGAGAGCGGTCGATAGTTTGGACCCCCTAATGTTAATTTTAATTCTTGCGTATTTCGCCATAACTCGAGCACTTTTTAAGCGAATTGAAAAATTTTGCACCCAATTATAAAATTCCTTTTTCTTAAAAGTATTTCATGCAATAAATAACTGATAGTCAATATTTATTGTTTTTTATTATTTCATTTAATAATTGCTGAAGAGATTTTGAATTGTAAAGCATACAATTTTTTTGCTTCATACAGAAAGTAATTTTTCTTAAAAAATACAAAATTTGAGAAAATCGGTCGAATAGTTCCCGAGAAATCGTATTTTAAAAATACGATTTTTTTAAAAACTTCATTTCTCAATATCGATTCCACTGATTTTGCTCAAAGTTAGTAGTTTTCCATATTAAATAACATTCTTTAAGGTAATGTAAAGAAATTGTATACCTTACAATCAAAAAATTTTTCGATTAAGAATTTCAGCTATTTAGGTTTAGAGAGAGAAATTAAAAGTTTGGACCCTTTCATGTTTATTTCACTTTTTGCGTAATTCGCTCTACCTCGAGAAATTGATAAGTGAGTCAAAAAGGTTTTTGCACACAATTATAAAATTCTTTAATTCGAATATATTTCCAAGTAAAATAATAATTATTATAATATATTTTATCTAAGGAAGGGAATTAAAATTGTAAGGTATTACAATTTTAATTCCCTTCCTCAATATGCTGGAATAGTTGGAATGAAATTGGTGGAATAAAAATAATTAGTGTAATAAATGAAACTATCTTTGAATTAACGAATTTTATAACTATGTACAAAAATCTTTTAATCCGTTTAAAAATAGCTCGAGATTTAGCGGAATGAGCAAAAATGTGAAATTTATGTTAAGGGATCCAAACCTTTGACTGCCCTCTTATTTAAACTACTGAGACCATACTTTACAGATTGCGATTAGTTAACATCCGTATTTTGAGGGTCAGAATTCCAAATCCGCAGAAATAAGTTACGTTTTTCAGAGAAAGTACGTTTTTATGTCTGATTTCGTAATTTATTATTCAATTAAAATATCGTCTAAATTAATAAACTAGCACATTTAAGAATTGACCCACTAACCCCGTGAGTCCTAATATGGGAAAATCTGATTATTTAATGAAAAGTTAGGGTGTCCACTTTTTTCTTTTGCTCACTTTTTTCCTTCTCAGAAAATATCGAATAGATTTTCGAATTCTCTCTGTTTGCTTTTTTTTTTTCTTCATGTTATGCTGCGCAATTTTATAAGTTTTTATATTTAAAAAAATATTAAATTTATCAACATTAACTGATTATTTTCATGATCAAATTTTCAATTATATTCCTCTGACAAAAAAATTTCAAATTCTACATTATTTTTAAAGCTAAAATTTGCATCAATATTTTTAATATAATTAAATTAAAACCAATTTAGTTTAAATTGAAAAAAAGGCTTTTCAAATTTAGCTAGTTTAACAAGTTCATAGTTTCTCCATAATTAAGTAGCTTTAATTTAATAACTTCATATTTTAATAACTTTTTAAATTACTCTATTATAGTGATGCTTTCTGTATTACTATATTTTCTTTAAATAAAAAGCATGGGAAACAGATAAAAAAAAAGTAGTTTTAAAATTAAATAATGGAGTGCACTGTTAAAATTAAAACTAATAACCAGTTTTAGTTAATATATTGTTTATATGTATAAAGCAACATGTTATATTAATGCATAAAATCATAATTGAACAATATTAAACCTCTCAAAATAATATTAGATTATTTATGTACATGAAATATCCGGAATACAATAAAAACTACTAGTTAAATTGTCAAGTTATTTTAACTATTAATTTAAAAATTGCTCTCTATCAATGCAATTGATACACAACAGTTTTTTTTCCTTTAAATTTAACTGATTTAATGTCTTTTATTAGAGTGAGGAAAAATAACTTTTCTAATTGATCATTATTAAATTTCCCCTCGCTTGCATGTTGTCTTTTTACAATAATCATTTTACAATAATAATTTTATAATATTTGAGTTTGAAACTTCGCTGAGCTGTGATCAGACCGACAGGCAACAACAATCGTTTTGTTATAGCCAGCAGATTATGTAAGCAAAATATAAATAAATAAAACTGATAGATTTTTTCCGTTAAGCTCCTTCTCTGACTATTTGTGAATTTGCAATAAAATAGTGTTCAATACAAGCATATTGTGCGTTATAAAGTAATCAATCTATTAGCCTCTGACTTAAATACAAAACTCACTTTCTCTTGTTAATTTTCCCAGAAGAGAAATCAAAGTGAAGTAACATATAATGATTCAATTATAAAAATAACTTATGATTACAAAACTTTAACTGTATATTCAACATATTAAATGTGTAGAATATTTTTAATTGATTGTAATAAGAGTTTTATTTCGCATTATGATGTAAAATAAAATTTTAAACGCTATAATAAACCACGCTAGCTCAGTTTGTTATTTTAACATTTTAATTACAGTAAAATAATACAAACACAACACAAGACAAACAACAAAATGACTTTTTTCTACGTCTACTCAAATTAAACGTTCGAGAGAAAGTGCGGAGAGGATCATGGGTGAAGTTTACACTAGCGCAGTCTTGCGGGCAAACCAGGCATTACATCCTCCCCCTCTGTTTTAATTAGCATCTCGCATTTAAAACAGCATTTTTCTTCGGTCTTCCTCTTTTTCGCAGAGGAGCAATTGGAGTAGTCTCCATTTCAAAGAACGGTCTTAATGCCGAAACATGGTAAGTTCCAATAGGTGCGTTAGGATTGTGCAAACTGGCCACCTCGTATGAAACTGGTGATCGTTGAGTTAGGATCACATAAGGCCCGTCGCGTTTTGGCATAAATTTTGCTGGGTTTTTTCGTTGTAAGCTCTGCTATTAGGATGTAAAACAACCCAAACTTTTTGGCCAGGAGTAAAATACAGTTTTTTACGGTTCCGGTCATAATAAGTCTTTCTCTGGTCCTGTTACATTTCAACGCGTTCCTTAACAGTCTTAGAGATTGAGTCCAATGTCTTCAAGTACGGCGTGACTTCCGGAACAAAGTTATCATTGTCCAGAACAGCTTTTAGATCGTAGGCTACATCATCAATTGTCCTCAATTCACGTCCGAATTGCAAATATGCTGCAGTNGCTAATTGGATGTAAAGCAACCCAAACCTTTTGGCCAGGAGTAAAATACAGTTTTTTACGGTTCCGGTCATAATAAGTCTTTCTCTGGTCCTGTTACATTTCAACGCATTCCTTAACAGTCTTAGAGATTGAGTCCAATGTCTTTAAGTACGGCGTGACTTCCGGAACACCGGAACAAAGTTATCATTGTCCAGAACAGCTTTTAGATCGTAGGCTACATCATCAATTGTCCTCAATTCACGTCCAAATTGCAAATATGCTGCAGTATGTCCAGTTGTATCTGATTTAGAAGAATTTAGAGCGAAACGAATGCTTGGTAATTTTTCAGACCAAGAATTATGTGAATCTCCCACAAGGATAGCAAGACGAGGTTTTAAGTCTCGATTTTTTCTTTCGACTGGATTTGCTTGTGGATGGTAAAGTGGAGTTAGGATTTGATCAATGTCAAGTGTACAACAAACCTGTTGCAGCACAGCACTTACAAATTGTGAACTTACATTATCACTAATTAATTTCCTTGGGATTCCGTACCTCAGGAAAACTTCTTCAATAAGTTTAGTTGCACACTCATGTGCAGTGGCTGAGACAAGAGAAAACAGTTCCACCCATTTAGTTGCGCAATCTTCAATAATAAAGATCCACTTGTGGCCTTCTTTACTTTCTGGTAACGGTCCAAATAAATCTATACTCAAAGTCTCGAATCGTTGAGCGTACGCCGGAGTTCTTAAAAGTCCAGAAGGTTTTTGATTGGTTGCTTTGAAACGACAGCATTCAGGACATTTCGTGACATAATTTTCAATATAAGATCTCATGCTGGTCCAATAGTATCTCTGAGAAATGCGTTGGTAAGTTCCTTTCTCTCCAAAATGACCAGCAGTAGGAGAAATCGTGAGGCAATTTCATGATAGTTTCTCTTTCTTGTGAAGGTATTACAAGTTGAGCTTGCTCTGCATCGGAGTCTGGGGCATATCTATAGAGTATCCCTTGATTCATCAAATATCCTTTATCTGACCAGTTTACAAAATCTTCATCCTTCTTATTATTTTCAAAACATTCGAATATTTTAATCCTTTAGCTGAGCATCACGAATGTAAAAAAAAAAAAAAGAAAAAAACTTAAATACTTAACATTACTTTCATATTTTAATCATCGATCGATGCATTATTTTCGAAATCCCTGCTTAGGATTTCTAATTCGGAAATTCGACGAAAACTATTTCTAATACGGAACATGACGTAAAGGAAAACAATGCAAATGTGCTTTCGCTTCGTTTTGTACATTATTTTCGGTTCTTGTCCGAAGGCATAAAAATGTAGACTTCGGGCCCCATAGGTGGGCAGCCTCTATAATAAACCGCGCTAGCTCAGTTTGTTATTTTAACATTTTAATTACAATAAATAATACAAACACAACACAAGACAAACATCAAAATCACTTTTTTCTATGTCTACTCAAATTAAACGTTCGAGAGAAAGTGCGGAGAGGATCATGGGTGAAATTTACACTAGCGCAGTCTTGCGGGCAAACCAGGCATTACAACGCTACGTTTTTCAAGTGAGCGAGAAAAAAAGAAAGAATTCGATTTTGCCACTCCTAAAACAAGAAACGTTGAGCACATCACTTTCTAAAGACGTGAAGGCTGGTAATAGGATTATCACCAACTTTAATCTCTATCTATTTATCTCCAGAAAGAGATGCGCCTATATTTTTCGTTTTCGGTGTAACAAAAATACAATTATTTTTTCTTTTTAGTCCACCTAAAAGCATAGTTTTTAAAATTTTTATTTTATTTTTTCTAGTTTTGGAGCTGTTAATGTTTGAAATGGGTCAACATTTGACAGCCAATAAAATGGATATGAATTTTGCTTAGAAATACTTAGGAAACAAAAGTAACTTGAATTGTTATCAGACGCAGAGTTCCAGTTCCAAACGGAGCACTTCGGCTACAATGCTCAAAATATCGATTTGTGATACGTCTTATTTGCCGTAAAATATCAATAAACTCTGTTGTGGTCAGGAAACGACTTGTATTCTCAATAAGCACGGAGCTCAAGTAAAGATTTGAGTACTATAGCTAGTCGGAAAGTGGTTGAAATTTAAATTGCATGTTACCATCATTACAAACACGAAAGCGAATTAATCCAGTTAATAATAATTATAATAAATGCTGTAGGTAATAAGAAAACTTATATAAATTCACGGAGAATTGTCATTGGTTTCCCAACACTCTCAGAGTTTCCCAACACACAAAGAAGTTGTTTGTTATTTTTATTGATTATTAATTCCGTTTTTATACAGCATTGAGCTTTTGTATGTTTTTTTTATTCTCCATAAAATTCATTAAAATTCGGTTATTGTTTTTACATGAATATCAACTTGAGACCCACAGTAAAAAAAAATTTTTTTAATTTTAAAAGATATTAAAAGACAAATTAAAGATTTAAAAATTTTCAAAGCATATTAAAAGACATTACGGAACACCCGGAAAATTTGAATAAAAAATTATGCTATATTTCATAGAATTAAAATGAAAGAAAGAAAACCTTATGGGTCAGTGATTTTTTTTAAAAAAATAAAACATCAGAATTAAAGAGTTGAAAATTTTAAAAGCATATTAAAAGACACTACGGAACACCTGGAAAATTTGAATGAAAAATTATGCTATATTTCAGGGCTTCTTAAACTTTTTTATATAGCGACCCCCTTCAAGCTTAGGAAATTTTAAACGACCCCCTCCTCCATATAATGAAATATATATTAACCGTAGATGTAGATGTAATATCGCACTATTTTACAATGTAAATAAAATAAGGATTAAAGAATACGTACCCATTCATTTCACATATATATAATTGGAAACGTTGACGGGATATCGGTCGTAATAAAACACAATAAATAGAATGACATAAAACTATATATATATTTATTCAATAGAAAAAATAAACTTTTGTAACAATTTTTTTATAAGAAAACATAAAACTATATCTATATATTCAATAGAAAAAATAAACTTTTGTAACAATTTTTTTAATAAAAACATATTATTAACATCAAACAATATTAATGTGACGGATGTGATTGTTTATTTTTACACAAATAATTAAATCTAGGCTCAATTTGAGTTAGTGCAGATCGTAATAAATTTTCAACGTTTATTAAAGTTGAACGGTATTTTGATTTTATGTAAGTTAATGTGGAAAAGG